CTAGCTTTACGGCCCGCATTTTAGGACCATATTGATGTTATAGGTGGGTGGCTTTTTTGTTGCCACGGTAAGAGGAATTAATTAGGCAAGATGGTGAGTCATAATTCATAAGTTAGTAAAATATGGTATGTAAGTTACGTATAAAATAAAAATATGTACGAGTATTTTAATTTTTCTTTATATTACTGTTCGGTTGCATAACAATTTACATTTTGTTACTCCAAATTTAATTAATTCACAACTTAGTTACTATAATGTACATATTATATTTTGATACTCCAAATTTAATTAAATCAAAATTTAATCACTATAATGTATATTTTACATTTTTTATAATCCAAAAATTAATTAAATCACAAATTAGTACATTTTACATTCTGATACCCCACTTAATTTTAATGTAAAATCATTGTATAATTATATTTTGGTATCTAAATTTTATGAGATTTTTGTACCGATTTACACATTCGAAATAAGTTGTAAAATGTCAGATATTTATAGTTTCATATATGAATATTCATTAAATTATCAATGTAATTACTAGAGCAAGTGTATTCTGCATGTTATGCCTATTTTATATATATGTGTAGAACATGAAACATCAAACAAATCGAAAAAATTCGAGGTTTCAAAACAACATGAAAATAATAAACACATTAATATATGGGATAATACCACTAGGAAACCCGAACTATTAAGAATGTGTCATTTGTGTCCTAAAGTACCCAATATGACATTTGTATCCTAAATTATTTTTCCGTTAGAGTTGACCGGCGTTGACCGTTAGTATTTAACAAATGAGATCGTGCCTTTCTTGCCAGTGTTCATGCGGGAACCTCAAACCTCCAACATAGAGGAGCTAAACCTGAGTCGTAAAAGGCGTTCTTGGAAGGGTCCTTTGTACCCAAAGCAGCGAGGTATGTTGTTCGCAATTATTACAATCGGTACATTCCTCTTCTTTGTTATTACTCTCGAGTAAAGGAAAAGTTATTATCCAAAGCCGGCAAGGAGGTCTTATCATAGGCCAAGAGAGAGGGTACACATCATCCTCAACGGAGTCAGGCCTGAACACGACAATGTGCGTGCTTTGCTTCAATTCAAGTTCGAGCTACTTCTTTCCAGCAACCGTGCACCTACCCCGGCATCGTCTTATTTTCCTGCTGTCTCGTGGCTCTCCACCCCGTAAGATCTTTTCGAAGATCGCTGGCGAGGGGAGGTCACGTGAGAATGTTACCCCCAGGGAAGCAGTTGAGAGGGCAAATAATCACACCGAGACCATTGTGTACTTTTGATCCAGAGAATGAAGTTTTAGCATGATTATAAGTACGCCGAGTTGGCTGAATATAAGATCAGGAACCTGTTTCTCGCACACAAGGAAGGGTGACAAGTGGGAGAAGAATTCCTCAACCAACATTTATCAAATTTGAAACAGAGTCAGAAGAAATGGTTCGATCCTCTTATTTTTCTTTCTCGAACCGAGACTCTTCCCACAGCGGATTCTAGACCAGTCTTCTATCCAACAACGCTTACTCTCGTTGCGGCATCAAGCACGGGTTACGAAAGCAAGGGCGTGAAGGCTTTCCTTCTCAGATAGGGCCTAGGGACTCTAGTTCGGGTTAGGACATAAATGACACAAAACTATAATACGTTGGGACATAAATGACACAAGACTATAATAGGTTGGGACACAAATGTCATATTAGATACTTTAGGACACAAATGACACATTCTTAATAGTTCGGGTTTTCTAGTGGTATAAGCCCTTAATATATATACAAGTATTATATGGATATCATATGCATTTTCCTGTAATGATGATCACAAATTCTATCCCAAAAATCGATAAGCAATAGAGTGAATAAAGAAGTAATTATTGAAAATTAGAAACACACATTACTACAAAATATTGATTCCAATTTCATCTATCAACCGCAGCATATATAGCGCGGGTCTATGCCTAGTAGAGTATTAGAGTGCATGAGTTACAAATATTGGTTACTTGGTTTTTTACTGCTTATTTTTTAGGTGGGAGGAATAAAAACATTGAGTCCATTTTAAACTGCAAAAATGTCACACATAAACACTATTACCATTTTTAAGAATATGCACAATACGCATGGTTGTCAATCCGATATTGACCCGACCACCGAGCTAGTTTTGATAGCATTTTATGACTCAAGTTTTCATGTATATGGTTTATAGATGAGCATATTGTATTAGAGGGAATGAGTTACAGATCCCTTACTTAGATTTTCACTGCTTATTTATGAGTTAAAGTGTATAGAAGTGACACATAATATACTATAAACATTCTTTTAAGAATATCTTACTACAAGCATGGTTGTCAACCTGGTATGGACTCATTTGTTGAGCTGGTTCCGATCGGACTCGTGATCCTTATCTGGTGCTAGGGATCCAGTTTACTGAAAATTAGGCTCGATCGAAAAGGAAGAATTGGCCAGTTTCAACGACCTCCAGGCCAAATGCCAAACTCCATAATTTTTTTGGTTTCAAACTTCCAATCAGGAAAAAGAGTGAAAGAAAAGGGGAGACTGCAATCTGCCACTCATACATCATTGCTTTACAGAACAAAACTCTAGATCTCGAGTGCGATCCCTCTTCCCCCTTTTCTCCTAGCCTCAAACGTATTATGTTTTTGTTGCTTCATTTCTACTATTTTTTAATACGGATTGTAAGAACATAAGAGGCGCAAAAAAAATATGTCAAGAGAAAATGAGAGATAAGGATTTTTTTTTTTGTTGCTAAAGTTGTTATATATATATATTATTAAACTTTAAAAGAGGAAATTCCCGATGTGAAAACAAAAAGCTTCAGAAACAGCTGTCAAAGCGAGAGTCACGAGAAAAGAGCTTCAACACAATTATTAATGATGACTCGCCACTCACAATAAGTGCCACGCATATAGACCTTTTCTGTGAAGTCTCACTATGTTTGGGAATGGGGGTTAATAGGAGGGGAGCAAGTTTGGGGTTCATGCATTTGCCCCCATTTGGATAATTATGAATAACGTATGGGGTGCAATTAGGGGGCAAATCTATTATTCTCATTATCTCCCCAATTTGGGTACAAATGAAGAGAAAAAGAGTGGAAGGATGGATAAAAGATAAAATTAATATATATATTGTTATGTTTTATATGTATGATTATGTTTTATGATTGTTGTGACTAAAAATGTCATGTAATCATTATTCTACAATAATACTTATTATTATTATGATACTAAGAATAATTATTATGATTTTTACATGAGAGACATCATTTGATATACGATGAGAAAGTTTGTCAAATTGGCTTCAACTGTTTGACTCGGTCAAACAAGTGAGTCAAGATTCGTCAAGTCGAATCGAGATAAGATGGTCATTTATGGTTAAAATCGATTTAGTAATGTCCGTTTCACTCTGATTTAACCATCATTTTGATAAATCAACGCCCGGGTGGGAGGCATGAACTAGTTATTTTTCTTGGACACGGATTGAGCTTCAAGCATAGTCATTCGAGGTCGCTCAACCAATTATTATTATTATGGACCCAACAATATTATTTATGAATATTTATAATTAATTACTACTTGAGCATTAATATTTTAATATTATTTTATTAAATTATATTTATTTAATATTTATAAATATTATTATTTTTCATTTCATATTTATCTATGTGTGAATATTTTATAACAATCTTTTACAAATTTGATATATCAATTTTATAATAATATAATTTAATTACTTTTCACTAATTTGCACCCCTACTTTTTCATCCAAACAACAATTTACCCCTCCACTTACACCCCAACAAATTGCACCCCCAACAATTTACCCCTCAACTTGTACCCCCCTTGAATTTGCACCCCCTAGTTGCCAAACACAGTGTAGGGTCGTTTGCTTCGTGGATTTGAAAAATAAAGGTTTTAGTAAATTTTGGGTTTTCTAAAACCATGGATATATCATATATGAGAGTTTTGGGTTCATCATAGACTTGAAAAATACCATTGTTTGTTTCATAGATTTCATGATGGAATTGGTTAATTAGATTTGTATGTATGAAGTGAAATTTACCTTTATTGCACTCATTGGTATGAGAAGAGAAATGAAATAGGCGGGATAGTTTGGTCTTAAATGATGGAGTTCAAAGTCCATGATCAATTCTCACCTAAATTAGTGGAACTTTCAAGTCCGTGTGGTCCACAAATTTGGACATTTAAGATTTGTGGGACTCACAGATTTGTTACTCCTAAATGTATCAAGCGAACAATAGATTTTGGACAAATTCCATAATAAATCCAAATCTCTCATAAAATCCATCACCAAATCCATGGAGCAAGATCTGATCTATATCAAGCATCCACATCAGTAAAGAAGGCCACAACTGGCAGCACAACAAAACGCCAAGAGAATCCAAGTACAGGTCGACCACAACCAACACCATTAGGAGGCAAACCTCTTAGAAAAAAGCTTAATGAAGCGACAAAGCCTTGAGGGTGAAATCACAATTAAGCACATCAGAAGCAGTAGACAGCAACATTCAAGTCGAAACTTTAGAATACATATAAAGAACACTAAACAGTAAACACCATGGTCTATACTTCATGAGGGAAGTAAGCCTTGTTCTCATCACTTTAAACCAATTTGTCGCCTCTGATTGATTCACCTTTTTTGCCACTGAAAGCCACGAGCATAAGATTTATCCTTTCTTGAAGGCCAGCACCCTTGAGAGAGATAGGGAAGTTTGGGAAAAAAGAAGAAGAAAGGAATTGTTTGGATGACTCGAAATAGAGATTGCAGTGAAATTAGAATTGAACTGGAATGGAAACTTAAATAGAAAAGAATGGACTGAAAGTGAGAGATGGGAAGGTAATGAACAAAAGTTTATCACTGATAGAAAGAGATTTGTAAGAAAGTTGAAAAGCATATGGTTCTTTTAATGTTAAAAATTACTAAATGAAGTTTTTTGTTTATTTGTCACTAAAAAAATACCAAATGATACAAAAATAAATACATTATAATATCAAATAAATACATAATGCATATTTAAAATTAGAAAAATATTGGATTAGTCAGTTGACCCAACCATTTGATACCTGTAAAATACATTACATTCTAGCCCTTAAGATATCATCATATATTTACCTAATATATATTTCAAATAAGATAAAATTAGGAATTGGGTTCACCCTGGTGGAACCTTGAACTCTTCCAGTCAAATGACCGAGTTAATAGTTCAATCCAAATTAATAAACTTGATCACAAGATGGAAATTTTATAAATAAGATTTAATACATCCCACGGACCGGGTAAAAACTACTATAATATATTATAAAACACCTCTAATTATGGATATTACAAAGTGATTCCCTACACAAAGGGCCAATATCCCAATGCATTAAATGGGTTGGGGAAAATATAAACAGGAAGAACGTGTCAATAGTTGAGGAGGGAAAGCTAGCTAGGCATGCATGCATTAATATTGTCGTGCCCAGAGAACGTAGTAGTTACATATATCATCTAGCACCCTTTTGGGTTCATGACTCCTGAAATTAGAGGCTTAACATTCTCACAAACTGCCTGTCCAACACCTCCTTTGTAGGTGATGTCAACATCACACATCTGTACATTTTGGCAAGGGTGAGAGCTGCTGCAGATCAACTGGATGATCTCCTTGCACTTGGAAGTTCCCTTCACGTTCTTGAAAAACACGTCACTGATTTGAACCTTCGATGGACCCTACGTATGCCAAAACAATATTCCTATAAGCTGATACTGATTTTAGTATTCACAAGGTCTAAGAGCACATATACACACGCACCTTAGACTTGCATGCGCCATCGGGGCAGTACATCTGATCAATGATGATCGGGTTGTCGACGTTTTCTAAGATGATGTCTTCAAAATGGACGTCAGTCAAGGAGGTAGCAAACATGTCGGGCCATGACTTGATTCTAATCCCATTGTCGGAGTCGGCAATGGTGCAGTTCTGAATGGTGATTGACTTGAGCGGTGTCTCGGTAACGTACTTGCCAAGGCTGCCAATGCTGATGCCATGGCTAGGACCGCACTTGATGTTCCTTATGGTGATTGTGTCGAGGCCGTCGGCCATGGAGACGCAATCGTCGCCGGTGGCAATGGTGGAGTCTGTGACAGTGATGCAAGAGGATCTGCTGATGTGGATTCCGTCGGTGTTGCGGCTTTCCGCCGGAGCAATCATGTGCAACTTGGTCAGGGTCATGTTCTTCACATATAAGGTGCTCATGTGGAAGAACTTGCTATCTTTGCTAGTGAGTCCCTCTACCCAGCCGTTGTTGATGTTCTGGAACCTCATGTTCTACAATGAAAATAATCGCAGAACCAATTTGTCTGAATAATTTTGGTATTCGAATTTTGGCTTGATCTTGAGACTAATGTATAAGCAATTTACATAACCATACCGGTGCGCGGTCGCCCTTCTTCTCCCAGCATTGTCCTCCTTGGCCGTCTAGAGTGCCGGTACCGAAGATCTTAACGTCATTCACATATTGAACGACGAGCCAGTCTTCACCCTTAATGACAGAGGGCGCCTTGAGGTTTCCGTTAATTTCAAGCTCGATTGGGGCCTTGCACGGACCAGCTAGGTTGGTAACCCCACACAGGTATTCTCCTGGTGGGATCACCACTTTGGATGCACAAGATGATGCACATGCATCGCACCATGCCTTGGTAAGGGCCTGACATGGACATCCATGTTATCGGGCGATGAATTGGTTATGATTTGTGATATCAACCAAGTATTATGTATTTGATATGAAAAAAATTTGATACCTTAGAAATGTCAGTTTTTCCGTCGCAAACTGCACCGTATTTTGTGATATCGAACACGCTTTGTGGAGGTTGATCATCATGAGCGTTGCTCATTTCTCCACACATTACCATCACCAATAGTAGCACTACTGTTGTCATTGATGAGCCCTTCATTTTTTAACTTGTAGTTTTTCCCCCCTTTTTGAACCTTAACAATTGAAAAGAACCCCCGACCCAAAATGAAAAATTAAAGGTAAAAGAAAAAAATAGTTTTATTCCTTTGGCTAAGCCGCAAAAAATCGATTATGAGCTCAGCCAGAAACCACTCTCCAATACAGGAAGTGGATTATTTAAGACACTAAATAATTGTTAATTTCTTTGATTAAGTTGGAGTTGATAATAACCTTATTTATAAGGAGTTTGATAGGCTTGGTGCCAGATTTAGTATTGTGATGGATATTAAGGGTTGGCTTAGCTTTTGGTCTCATTAATAGTATATTCTACTTTTAGCTACTTTTTGTTTTTAGCTTTCACTTTTACATCTAATTAATTTGATTTTGATTTATGTCAATTAGGATATGAGAAAATGAAGACTTATGTGGTTGTGCTATGAATTCGTAATGCTATTAGTGTCCCATCCTCTAAACAAAAAGAAAGAAAATTTTTTTGGTATATATTTACTTTAATCTCTTATTCATAAATTAATGTAATTACAAGCATAGGTTAACTGAAATACAGTGAGTGAACTTTGAATTCACATCTAACATGTGGATCAATCAATTGATATCGCTCAATTTGTAACAAAAGGTATAATGCATACACTCGCATAGCTAGGATTTTGGATAAGGAGGTGCCAATTTAAAAAATTAAAATGACTATAAACTTTTTATAGTGACCCACGACACGTTCTCATAAGTTGAAAAGTCTGTAAAATACATTCATCATCCATACTATCAAGAATGTCACTCTTAATGTATCCTACCAAATAATCATTCATGATATCATCACTCATTCGACTCCGAAGAGTGTTCTTCACGTAGTTCATTGCCGAAAATACTCTTTCAACACTTGCAGTGGCGACTGGTAGTAGCAATGATAACTTCACAAGAAGATACACAGATGGAAATCCTAGATGGCGCTTTGTAGAAACCATCTTACTAGAAAGCTCAACAATCCCCTTTACTCCAGTGAACCTCTTATCTCTCTTCATCGAATAGATATAACTTTTTAGATTATTGAATATGAGTTTTTTAATTTGATTTACTTATTATTTGTAAACGGTAAATTAATTATATATATACAATAAAATGTATTAGTGTATCGCGTAAATAATTGTGGTTTAATGGAAGATGCCAAAGCTAATAACAAGGGGTTCCATATTAAATCCTAGATGTAGCATAAACTAATGCCCCTATTTTTTATGTTATAGTCACAATCCAAGGGTGTGCCATGGAACACCCTAACTACTAGCAACCTCCGCCCCTGAATGCATACGTTATTTTTTTTCTTAGGTACGCTAGGTTGAGCACTGTGAACAGTTGGCTCTTTGATGAATAAATTTACTTATTGACCCGCTTGGGAACAAGGCGACAAAGCTGAATGCAGATGGGAGAAAAACGAAAGTTTGATTTTCAAGGCCCAAAATTTCTCTTATTTCAACTTTGCTCACAGACAATATGAATGTAATTTCGCTCAAAGACAATGCGTCGACAGCCAGTCTGTGATTCTATTCCCTTCACGATACGTATGAATTAGGCGAACCACCCAACCTTGGGCATAATTCGACGAATAGAAACTAAAATCGTAGCATAAGGATGTGGTTGATCAATGTGTTTTTCAATAAGGTCCAACGGAAGTCTTGAGTCAGACTCGAGGATGACAAATTGATACCTTTCTTTTATGCCAAGTTAAGGCCCTAATAGATTCCCCATAGCTCCACCATAAAGGGCTAAACCTGTTCCCAATTTGCTGCAAAATCTGCCAAACCACTCACCACCATTGTTGCGGAAACCCCTCTTGCAGTAGCCACACTTGAGTTCAACTGAGATGCGCAATATATTTTAACTTTTATCCAGCTGGCGGGGCTCTCCATCCAATCAGGGCTTTGGTTCTGCTGTAAACTTACTTCCCCCGAAGATGCCTTCGTCTCTGCATTTCCAAATATACCACAAGATAAGGCTGAAGAAGCTTTCTCAAGTACCTATCCAACCACCTTGAGAATCATCAAGCAAATTCATTTGGATCCAACTACTGTAATCAGAATTAAAGAATTGTTGGCTTCTTTGTTGGGGAATAATCTTGGACCAAATAGCCTTTGCCATTTTGCAGTCCCACAAGCAATGTTGATTGGACTCTGGGAAATCCTTGCATTCAGGACACTTGTTTTCATGTGTCAAATGTCTATAGTTTGGAACACTATTGGTAGTGAGTTTGCCATGAACTGTCATCCAAATGAAAACCCTAACCCTCGCGGGCACTTGCAGTTTCCAAATCCACTGCCAGAAGGATCTCCGTTGATAATGTGGTATGGGTGAAATTGCTTTGTATGCTTAGTTGGCCATGAAGTGTCTGTTAGATGTGAGATTTCATATGATTTGATCATCCTCAGCTGATAAAGGATCCATCATTATACCTCTGATTCGGTCCAAAATTTCATGAGGTAACAGGTTCTGCATCTCGTCAATTTTTTAACCCTGGTCATGCTGCCAATAGTCTACAACCAACAAGTCTCTTTCTTCATTGGTGTCTCAACAGTTTCCATTTCAATCAATGAAACCTACAAAACCCAAGCATTATACCATAATGTAGTATTGAAATACCGTTCCTAATTCTATGAACAAGGCCTTTCTACAAAACATGAGTAATACTAGTGAAGCTTCTCCAACCTAAAGAACTTCCCTTTAACTTAGTAATCATGTTCATCCCTTCTCTTTTTTTACTGTACTTGTCCTTTAAGGCTTCTACCCGTAGAGATCGATCTTGGATAGTCTAGTGGGCCTTATTCCTTTACCTCACTGGCTTCTCGGCATAGTTAGCAGGTCCTAAGAGATAGGATGGAACTTTGTTTTGCCTTGTTTCTCCTCTCCGCATGAATTTCCTACTACATTTATTAAAAGAGTTGCAAACAGAAGCTAGAAATAATTCCATAAACATTGGGTAGATTGTCGTGGATGACGAGACATATCTCACCAAAGCCATACGAGTTGCCAACGAGAGGCGCTTCATCTTCCACTAAGAAAGCTTCTGTTGAATCCTCAAAGAGAGTTCTTCATACCTAGCCTTAGAGTTGCGACCATTCAGAGTTTTGATTCCCATGTATTTTCCCAAATAAGTAGTAAGAGGAATCCCAACCTGCAAGCTCAAGCACTGAGCTTTATCCTGAGCTATGTTTGTAGGAGACTAACATAGATGATTTGGCCGCGTTGACACGTTGGCCTGAACTTGAGCAAATATTCTCCACACAATGGCGAATACTCTCAATTTGGTTGTTGTCTTTTGCTGCAAATAAAATTAAATCATTAAAAATGAGATGTGAAAGCTTAAGGCCATTAGGGGGCAGAGAGAGATTTCCACTTCTTTTCTTTGACTATCGGATGAGCTAGCCAGTCAAGAATCAGTTGATCCTAATAACTCGAGTTGTTGTGAGAGGTTAAATAATGGATCTTATACCACTCATTAATACACACCCTCAAATGAAAGCTAGTTAACTCATAAGTACTTTCGTTTTCACGTGTCCTGAACACAAGAATACATGTGCTTCACAAATGGGGTCACCTGGATTCGAACACAAGACCTCTCGTTCACATAAGGCTATGATACCAAGTCAAGAACCAGTAGGTCCCAATAATTTGAGTTGTTGGGAGAGGTTCAATAATGGATCTTATACCACTCATTAACAGCCTCTCCATACAAAGCACAAACAAATACGACGATAGTGGGTCTCCCTATCGGAATCCTCGGGAAGGTGTAATAGTGTCAGTTAGCTTCTCGTTCCACAATATCTTCATTTTGTTGCTCTCAACATAGTGCATGATCATATTCGTCCAGGTGCTGAAAAGACCAACTTCCACCAAGGTATCTCAAACGAAATCCCATCTTAGTCTATCATAGGTCATCTCTAAATCAATCTTGATCACCAAACCTCCCTTCTTGCCTTTCTTTTTTCACTACGAATGTAGGAATTCTTGTAGAATGATGATGTTATTGATGGTCTGCCTCCCTAGAATGAAATCGCTTTGTGTTGGTGCAACTAACTTATGCATCAACAATTTTAACCTGCTGGCTATTGCTTTGGTGATTGTCAACGTTATTGAGGCAGATCGGCCGCAGCTGTGTAGGTTTTTCTGGACTCTCATTTTTGGATGAGTACTATAGTGGAATCCTTCATCTCTTTAGGGATAGAACCTCTGTAAAAAAAGAAGTAGCCATGTGAGTCAACTTCCTCCTGGCTCAGTCCCAAAGCTTTTGATAAAAGACCGCTTGAAAGCCATAAGGGCCATGCATGGATAAAGGTTTCATGCTAAAAACATATTTATGAATATCATAGATATTAAAATGACGGAGCAGTGATAAGAGATCCTCTTGATTCATCCTTGGAATCTGTTTTTGGGCAAAAGATCAATGTACGTCGAGTTTTCTTGAGTGTAAAGGTTCTTTTAAAAGTCCACAATTAACTTCTCAAGATTCCTCGGATCATCCACCCAATCTCCATTATGGTCTTGCAAAGATAGCACTCTACTGTGCTTACTAAGTAGAGAAGTTTGATGATAAAAGTATGATGTTTTTGTTCCCGTAGATGCACCCACTTCTCTATAGCTCGTTGATACTAGATGTTCTCTCTTTGTGCTAGGAGAGTGTCAAGTTATGTCTCGAGTTTAGCCTGGAGCTTTAAGATTCATGGATTGAAATTTGCTGCAATCTTTTGTTGAATCCTCTTAAGTCTAGCCAGGATTCGTTTTTCCTGGTGGGTGATGATGCGAAAGACTTGTTTATCCAATCTTGCTGCTTTTTGGAGACATCTTTGAGGCATGAGATAACTCCATATCTTCTTTCCAAGCCTATGCAAAAAACTCATTAAACTTATCATGTAACAACCAAGCTGCTTCAAATCTAAAAGGCTTGTTACTATGGGAGGCCGAGGATGGGGGAGAAACAGAGGTGAGGATTGGGAGGTCATCCGAATTTAGTTTTGGCAGGTGATGGATTGCAGTGTTTGAAAATATCTCGTTCCATCTATAACTGCATAGAGACCGGTCGATTCTACTAGCCCTGTGCGTTCTAGTTGAATTGCCTCTATAACAAGTAAAACAGGGACCTGAAAAACCTGAATAAAAAAGGTTAGTCGAGTCAATATAATTTGCAAAGTTTTGGCAGTGCCTAA